GTAAGTTCTATTTTCTTTGAGTTTTTGTTGATTATGGCTATGTTAAATGTGAATATTGATGTTGAGATTGAAATGAGTAGCTAATTCCTTAGCTATGGTTAAGGGATAATCTTTCAGGTTTGTTCTCGTTTATGTGTGCATGACGATAATTCAATCTCACCGAGTTGTTTTAATTATGAATTGATAAATTAAACTTGGTAAATTTTTATAACCTAAGAGTGACACTTAGGTTAATTTGATTATATAATCAAAGAGTGACACTTTGATTTGTGATTGAAATATGATTTGTTAAGTTAGAATTTGTTAATTCTACGAATTGCGACTTTTAGAACCGAAAGGGGAGGAGTCGTATAAATAATCGATGTAAAAACCGATAGGGGAGGAATTGATAGAACTTGGCTAGTTTGGAGTAGACATGTTCGAAGACGTATTGTCTATTTGTTAATTGTTTCGTTAATTTGCTCGTTTATGTTTTTCCATATATTATGAGAGTTAGTATGGTTGAACTGCTAAATGAGTTAATTAGTCGAGCCTTTTAACCGAGTTATTGATTGCCTTTAAATGTGTGTAAAACCGGAAGCGATTATTCCCGATTTCCTAGCATCTTTATCTTTGTATCGTTTATATTTTTAGATAGATTATCGTTTTATGTTATTTATTAGTTAATATTTTAGTTAATCATTTTCCAACCCTATCATGATTAGAATGTGTAGGATTTATTTTGCTTTTATGTGTTATCAACACCAATTCTAGATTCCGAACAGTCTTCCTTGAGAGATCGACCCGGGAAACGAATCATTTGATTCGGTGCTCGGTAAAATAAAAATAATTTGTACACAACAAATTTGGCGCCATTGTCGGGGAAGGCAAGTAGGATATTTAGTTTTGGTGTTTGATTTTATTTTTTTTTGTTTCTCTTGTTCTTGTGAATCTGATTAATTTCAGTGTTCCTCTTAATTTTGTTATTTTCTATTACTATTGTCTTATTTTTATTTTGTTAAAAAAAAAAATCGAAGGTTAGCGCCGCTAACAATTGGTTAGCAGCCGCTAATCCGCAACAGAGAGTTCGCGAGTTAATTAATAGCGGTCATTATTAGTTCTTAGCGCTGCTAACCCCATAAAAAAAAAAAAAAAAAAAAAACTGTTTATCTCTTTATTTTGTCTTTTCGTATTTTTTCTCTTTCTTTTCTTTTGTGCATATTTGTTTTTTATTTATTTTCTTTCTTTTCGTAGCTACGTGTGGTTGTTCTGTTTTGGTGTGCAGGTATTATGAACTTCCACCATGCTTTCCCATATCTGCACACCCAATCTTGGGTGAACGGGCCGAGTTATCACACCGGGTACTACGTCCAACCGTATCCATACTCTTCCGAGCAACGCTGGGACCCCTTCCCGGTCGATCAATATTACGAGTCCCACGAGCTTAACAAGAAGCTCGACCGTATCTATGCTTTTGCATCATCCCGGTTAGCTCAGGAAGAAGAGATCGCAGCCCGGTGTGCCCCTCTGAACCAGTCACCTCCATACCACGATTCTTGGGACTATGTCCAAACTTGGACATACCCCTATGAGCAACAGTGGGATTCTTGGCCTATTGAGCAGTCACACGAGTTCCTTGAGGACTCCTCAGAATACAATGCAAAGCTCGACCAAGTCCTCGCTCTTTTAGCCTCCCAAGCGGCCCAAAGGAGTAATATTGAGTCCAGAATCAAGAACCTAGTAGAGCGCGTGCAAGTCTTGGAGGATCGAGTTATCAATGTCTCTCCCGAGCCCACCGCTCAAGGCGAATCTACACATAAGAATGACCCTCGGGAGGCTGCTTTGACATACGATGAAAAGCTCGACCTATGTCTTGCTCGTCTATCTAGCCATACCACTCGAGATGTGGAGAATAAACTCGGATGTGTTCGACTGAGCGCACAAATGGAGATTTTTATAGCACATACAGACTCAATCGAGGCCCAAGTCGACTATCCCCACTTTATGCTTGATACTCAAGCCCGTATGATGAAGCAAATGTGTGAGGCAGAAGAAGAAGAAGAGGATGAGCTCCACCGAGACGTTGATGATATCTTAAAGGAGGAAATCCATGGGCCTGATTCTCAAGTCACCCCTCCCTCCTCCAAGCTGGAGTATCCGTCTCCGAAGCCATTGCACTGTGTTACAAAGTGGGTATGATCTAGTTCGACTTGCTCCACAGATGAGCTTATACTTCCAGAGGTTGGCGACATAGCTCGAGTGAGAAAAACTCTGTATCTAGAGTTGGGGATTGCTCTTACCCATACCCGTTTCATTCAGAACATAGCCACACGAAACCATTATGCCCGCCTTCTTGCCACATTGCATATTCTGCCTCTTCTTGAAAATATGAAGGCGTGGCATGACCGTCACTTCTTCTTGGACCCCGGTTGATTTGTACAGGTTTCGTCAAGCTAATGACGTTAAACAAGCGCTTCTTGGGAGGCAACCCAAGTTTCATTTACTGCTTTCTTGTGTGTTTCGTTTATGTTTTTTATTTTATTTTTGAATAATTGGAGTTTGGGAGTTTGGTGGTTTTCTTAGCAGGAAGTATCAAGGATCGGTTGATCATGGGCGAACGGTTTGCACGTAGATGCTTATTTCATCGAGGCTACTTCAGTTTGCACATCCTTTTCTTTTTCTTGTTTAAATTCCCAGTTTTTGTTTTTATTTTCATTTATGTGTTGATGCAATGGGGAAATTGCATTATTTTAAGTGTGGGGGAGTCTTTTGTGTTTTCGAGCATGTGGTATTGGTGAATCATATGATTTGTTGATAAATGTTTGATGAAATTGGGAAGATGTGATGACGAACGTATTTACCGTTGCCTCGATATTTACTTGATTGCTTTGAGTGACATTTATTTATCTTGTGAGGTTTTGATCCTTACTTTTCTTTGTTGAGAGATATTGGTCGTATTCTCGAATGATTAGAACTTGCCTGGAGCCTATGTGAAAAGAATCGATTTAAGTTTGAACTTGCCTCGTTTTGCCTTGTTCTTGACCCTAAAAATATATTTTCCGCTAGTAGCTCGTTTGAACTTGAA